ATGTGGTGCATGTCCTGTCTGTGAAAGTTAGGTCAACTTAAGGAGGTGGTCAACTGTGGAGGTTCTGCTATATTTTTATTCATTTGTAAGTTATCTGATCAGTCCCCAAAACCAATTTAGGTGCTATTATTTATACTAGGTGTGACACATAAACAGGTGCAAGACGTATCAAAGAAGAGTCTTAATTACTATAATTATGATCTCTGCTGTCGGTTATAACTTGCAGAGAAAGCACAGAATCTACCACATCTGAGGATTAAATGTTATTTACTTAGATGTTTAATAGATTCAAACTAAACTTTATCTCATGATCTTAGTATATAAGTGATCACTTCTAGAGTCTTTATAGATGCAACTATACAATTGATTAAATTCCAAACTAATGTAATGTAGATTTATTCCCCTTAAAGTCTATGGTGTTATTCAAATGTGACTTCATTAAAGGTTGATTTTATGCTATCCTATAAGTATCTAGAATTATTTACATGTTTCTCTGTGACATGTACTTTCAAATACACTTTCATTATCTTAATATGGTTTTATAGAAATACAGGTCTCTCCCAAGACTGTAAAATTCTTGTTACAGAAATTCTTTTTAATAAGCTGGGTGTCTAATCAGCACAGAATGGATAAGTGAATAAATGAATGAATGAATTTAAGAGTTGACTTTGGAAAAGAACAAAATGCGATGAATTTCATAGCTCCTTCTGTAGAAATATACTGTTTTCACCTAATGTGCACAACCTGAGGGTGTTCAGCACACCCCTTGGGTGAAGGGCTCAACTACAACTTGAACTTTACCTTGGAAGTGAGAACAATGTATCTTAAAAATTTGTACCCTCATGTTAATTTGAAATAAAAGAAAAGAAATATACAGTTTAATAAAAGTGCTTTTGATCTTTTCAATGTTTTCTCTGGTGTTAAAACAGCATGAGCTACATCATCATTAAACAATGCTGTTTATTCCAGGAAATAAGTCTTGATGCATCTTTAATCTCCAATGGATTCAACTCAGGCTATTAATTTTCTGGTCTTGGGCTATGTGACCATTTTCTTACTGGATGAAGAATTTGTTTTGCCTTTAGGCAAAGAGTAATAATGTGTTGGTAGGACTTCAAGTCTGGACTATCATGAAATATTCAACAAAGTATAAAGAGCAGAAGTAAGTCACAGAGATGGAAATGCCTTCTGGTGCTTATATTTGATCAAGGAAAGCTGGAATACTTAAAGGATTAAGTATGGTGCACAAGGAAGAAAATAAATGAGAGAGAGGTAGGCAAAAAGGATGACAGAGACAAGAAGGCTAAGCTGAGTTGGGAAGCCCAACCCTAAAAGTTGACGGAGGCAGGAGGTAGGGAAAGAGGTGGGAAGTGACAATGCTAGTGTAGAAATAAGGTCCATGAGAATGGGATTTGGGGCCATAGCATGTAAGGAAGAGGTATTTAAGTAGCAGGGCACTCTGCTGATGGGCTGATTGGGTGATTGCTTAACCCATAGTAGTTCATATCCCAAACAAGGTCAGGGTCTTCTGGGTTAGAACAGACAGGTAAATAGACCAAGAGACACAATAGCACAGCGCTGTGTGGCTAGAGTGGCTAAATGACCAGATTTGCTTTTTAGGAAGATACTTGTGGCCACAGTATTGAAAATGAACAGTAGGGAAGACAGATTCATTAAGGGACTGCTGTGCAGAGACTGTAAGAAACATCCAATAGCACAGGAGGAGGGATGGGTAATGAGGATGTAGGCAAAGTCTTGGGTAGCTCAGGTTTCCAACACAAGAAGCTGAGTTAGAAAATATAGGAGAGAAATGGTTGAGGGGAGGAATGTTTAGTTCAGTTTTTGATGTTACATTTGAGGAAACTGGGGGACATCCAGACAGAAAGGGGTAATAAATGGACAGATGAGCCCGTAGGTCAGGGGCTCAGGAGAGGCTTGGAAAGGGGAGGTAGGCCTGGATTTGGAAGTCTTTATAAAGGAGGATGAGGGTGGGCAATGGGATCATTCTAGAAGATGTTGGAAGAACATGGAGCATGAGCAAACACAAGGGGTTGGCAGAGGAGGAAGAGGTGCCCAAGGGCCTGGCACAAGTTAGTCAGAGAGGAAAAGAGAGAAGTAGGGAGGAAAGAGCTTTGAGGAGAAGACGATGGACCCCGGAGTAAGTGCTGGACCAAAAAAAAAGCAGCGCTGCTTGGCAATTCGTGGGGAGGGATTTACTAGATTAGAATGAGAGAGGAGTGAATGGGAGCTGAGGAAAGTGACAGAGCCACCAAGAGTAAACTATCTGAAGACACTTTTGGTGGCAAGTGGAATGAGGTAAATAGACAGTTTATTAAAGGGTGTGTAGGGAGTGAATAATTTATTTATTTATTTTTTTGAGACAGAGCCTCAAGCTGTCCCCCTGGGTAGAGTGCCATGGCATCACAGCTCACAGCAACCTCCAACTCCTGGGTTCAAGCGAGTCTCCTGCCTCAGCCTCCCAAGTAGCTGGGACCACAGGTGCCCGCCACAACGCCCGGCTATTTTTTGGTTGCAGCCGTCATTGTTGTTTTGGCGGGTCCGGGCTGGCGATTCGAACTCGCCACCTTAGGTGTATGTGGCTGGTGCCTTAGCCACTTGAGCCACAGGTGCCATGCCAATAATTTATTTTTTTTAAGGAAGAACCTAAGTATCTTCATAGGCAAGAGAAAGAAGTGGAGAGGGAGACTTCAAAAAGAAAAGACCTGCAAAGGTCAGAATTATATATCAGATATATATATATAGTATGGTATATATATATATATATATATATAGTATGGTATAGTATAGTATAGTATGGTAAGATATATAGAATTCTTGTCACATAGACTAGGAACTGCTGCCGTAATGCCCTGAGTTACACTTGGAGCAAAGTTCACAAATAAACACATCCCTGTAAGTTCCAATGTCACCTTTTTCAATACTAGGCATATAAATTGGGATCACACTGTTTTACCTGTTTTAAAGGTCAGGGACTATACCGGATAGCTCTTCGCAGTCAAATCCTAAAGATGTACGATTCTGTGCACTTTGATTCTTTTTATTGGACTCATGACTGTTTTCTCCTCCAGTTCTTGGTTAAATGCTTAGCTAGACTATGCCAGTTTTCTTCTTACTAGCTGCCCAAACCAGCTTCTGAAACAAGTTACATATCAATCATTTCTACCATGTTCTATCTTATACACCAGATACAGCCAGTGTATCAGATAAATATCCCAATTAATGACTTCAAATTTCAATATCAGCTCATTTCATTCTTTCTTTTACACATCTTCATCTTTTCAGTAATGCACTACTGCTGTCTGCCCCCTCGGACAATCTGTTACGTTGATTTCAATGAAGACTTTTTTGGGAAGAATACTTGCCTGGAATAAATTCAGTGAAGCCAAATGTGTCATAGGAATTGCCCCTTGACCTTGGAAGAAGAGTGTTTGCTTTGTTTTACTTTGAGCTATCCTAAAACATGTTGCTGTGGAATTTGTTGGATTAAATGTCATCGAAATTGTTCTAGAGAGAGGTCACCCCCAAGAAAAGGATACTTGGGAATCTAAGAGTACTTCTGATACTGGGAAAGTGGCACCCCAGCCAGCTCAGCCCAGCAGGGCTGGGGGACCTGCCACTTCTGTCTTGGTAGCAGCAGCTGGCAAAGGAACCGGCAGGCTGGAGCAAGCGGGGGGAACTTCCCTCCCCCACCAGAGGCTCCAGTAGAGCAGTGCAAGAGGACCTGCCAGCTCTGCCTTGGCAACAGAAACTAGCAGGCTGGAGCAAAAGGGGAAGCTTTCCTCTCCCACCGGAAGCTCCAATAACAAAAAAGACCAGGCAGATCAGGGGAAAACACTGGCAATTCCTCCAGTGCATCCCTGATTGGTCCATTTTCAATCCTGCTCCTGACTGGTCTATTTTATAGACCAATCAGCTAAGCTCTCAGCTCATTGGACAACTGCCCCTATATAAACCCCTGAGCAGAGAGCCTAGGGGCAGATCATCGCAGATCGTCAAGGAAGATAGAGCAGAAGAGCAAGACTTCAGCAGATTGTTGCTGACCTTGGAGGAAGAGAGAGCAGGAGAGCAAAGACCTCAGCAGATTGCCATTGAGAGAGAGCAGAAGAGGAAGAGCTGTAACACTTATACCCTGCTCTGCAAGGAAGTTTGGCTCTTTGTAAGAGCTGTAACACTTGCATCCTGCTCTGCAAGGAGGTTTGGCTCTTTCTAAGAGCTGTAACACTTATACCCTGCTCTGCAAGGAGGTTTGGCTCTTTGTAAGAACTGTGACACTTAAATAAAACCTATCTTATCCTGTTCTGCAAGGTTTGGCTCTTTGTAAGAGCTGTAATAATACCTCTGTAAATAAAGCCTAACTTACTGTCTGTCCTGTGGTCTGTCGGGAGCCAAATGACGCCAGATGGCCGCCCATCCCCACTGTCTGGAGTATGCTAACCTTTATCAGATAAGGAGCTGCTTTTCCCTTATCAGACAAGGAGCTGTTCTTCCCAGAGAAGCCATAAAATGTTTCAGACACATCGTTTACATTCCCAGCAGGAGATTGATGCAAGCTCTAACTCCTGCATTCCTCTGCCCCCCACCTCTTGTCTTCTCTGAATACTATAAAAACTGATCTGTTACATCCATTAAATGAGACCTTGACAAATCTGCTTGGTCTCGCCTCCTCTTCTTTCTCGTGCCCATTCTCTTTACAGGCTGGGTCCCCCTCGCCCCCCGAATAACCGTGTCCCGCAGGACGGGACAGTGGTCCATCAATTCATTCATCGAATCGTGGAGACCAAGAGCCTGGAAATCCAAAGTCAAAAATCCGGTATCACTTCCATTGCTGACTTACTATTTCTAATACTTTGGTATTGATCAAGTATATTTACACTGTAATAAGATGTTATGCTGAGAAGAAAAGATGTTCTCTAGTATCTTTATGTACCAGTGGTCTAGATAATATAGCTTCAGGGATAGTAAAATATTTAAATTCTTACCACATAGATCAGGAACTTCCAGCCAACAAAGTAATACTGTACTGTTCTTGCTGAGATGGCCTGAGTTATATTTGGAGCAAAGTTCACCAACAAATATATTCCTGCAAATGCCAATGTTGTACCTTTAAACAAAATTAGAAAGAAAAACCAAATTAAAAAGGGCACTTAATGCTTTTTGTGGTGCAGACGTTACCTAGAGACTATTACTTGTAAAAGTACCAACAGTCCCTCCTATTAAAATATGACTCATCAAATCATCCCTAGATAGCACCACATGTATACCTGGAGGGATTACCTTCAAAGGGGAATCCAGCCAGGGAATGGGTGGGACAGGACACAACAACTGATTTTTCCTCTATTGTTCCAAATGAATCCTGGCCTCTTAAGGGTCACTTTCCCCAAAGATGGAAAAGAGCAGAACATTGTGCATATGGAGATGTAAAAACACACCCAAACTGTTTCCATGTGGGCCAGTAAGTGCATGATGGATCCCGATCCATCTAGATCCATCTACATCTAGATCAACGGGCCCAGAGGTCAGGGAAGTTCTGCACGATGGTCTTCTCTGTACTCACTCATCTTTGGAGACTTTACACACACTTGTAAACCATAATCACTACCATTTAATTGAGTCTTTTTGGCGAAAATAACAAAGGTGAATGCAGACTTTGGTTACGGTTTTAATTAATCCTATTAAGAATCTGGAATTCCAAAGTTAGCTGAGAAAAAAAAAAAAGGAGTGTGTTACTGTCATCATTTGAACATTGCTTAACATAATGGAGGAAGGGAATGTGTGTGGGAGGGGTGGCCACAGGCAGAGGGGTAAAGGGAGGACTTGCCCTTCCAAAGGACACTGAAAACAGTGTTTATATATAGTTAGCAGCTGGAGAAAAGTTGCTAAATGTAGCATTTCTCAGCACACTTAAAAACTTGACTTGTTTCATCCCTGAGGTCAGTGTTCTTGTGGGTATAATTTACAGCTAGCATTGACTCCAACCTGAAACAATTTGGTTTGTCTATAAAAATCTCACAATGTGAAGGCACCAATTTTCTATTCCTTTTAACCAAATGATTCAGGTTTTGAACTCTGCTTTCGGAGCACAAACAGCACTTGATTTTTCATCCAAGCTAGACAGTGGCAACATAACGTATTGCAGAAACTAATGTCCAAGGAAGTTTCCCATAATGTACCACTTAATTCTGTAATGCTTTGTGAAGCTATGATTTTTAAAGCTATTTCTAAAGACAACTTTAAAAGTAAAAGACAACATATATTATTAAGTATTATGATAAAAGCAAAAGATATATTTAAGAATGTGGAGGAAAATTATTGGTCAGTCATGTCCTTTCTTTGGAACAAAAGATTCTATAAGATAATTGGTAAAAAGTAGAATGGATTGAAAAAAAAAGTTTTCTAAACTTGGCAAAGTAGCACAAGGCTATTGAACGCACTTTAAAAATTTTTGAAAACTTCTGTGTTTTTTAAAATGAAATCCCAATTTCTTAGTTATATAAAACTCCTCAACCAGCTACTTCTCTATCTCTTGTAACAGTACCTAGTATCAATTAACTGTCTTGTGTTTACATTTAGTTTAAATATTCATGTGGGTAACACATGTATGTGGCAAAATTCCAAAGATATGCAAGGATGATCAGTGGAAAGTTAAATCTCTCTTGTGCCCCGACGGGCCACTAGATCCCCTTCCCAAAGTTAACTACTGCCATCGGTTCCTGAGGTTTCCTTTTCAGAGATGCATGTGTGTGAGCATGCAGACATTTTATTTATTTTTAAATTTTTAATTTTTAGTTGTTATCGGTACGTAATAGTTTGTATGTGTTTATAAGGGACACATGATGTCTCCATATGTGAGTGAGTTAATCAAATCACAGTAACTAGGGCACCCATCACCTCAGGCATTTATCATTTCTTTGTGTTAAGAACATTCCGATTCCACTCTTTTAGTTATTTTAAAGTGTGTCCTAACTTAATGTTGGTTTTAGTCACTTTGTGGTGCTATCAAATATTGTTCATTCTATCTAACTATCTGACTCTATTTCTGTACCCATCACCGGTCCCCTTTATCCCCTGCTCCCTGCTCCCTTTCCCAGCTCCTGGTAACCATCATTCTACTCTTTATCTCCATGAGATCAATTGTTTTTAATATTTAGCTCCCACATATAAGTGAGAACATTTGAGATTTGTCTTGCTGTGTTTGGCTTATTTCACTTGACATAATGTTCTCCAGTTCCATTCCTGTTGTTACAAATGGCAGGATTTCATTCTTGTTGTGACTATATAATATTGCATTGTCTGTAAGGATCACAGTGTCTTTTTCCATTTGTCACTGATGGACACTTAGGTTTATTCCAAATCTTGGCTATTGTGAATAGTGCTGCAATAAACATGGGAGTGCAGATATGTTTTGATATACCGACTCCCCCTTCTTTTGGATACATACCCAGGAGTGGGATTGCTAGATGATATGGTAGTTCTATTTTTAGTTTTTTGAGGAACATCCATAGTTCTCCATAGTGGTTGCATTAATTTAGATTCTCACTGATAATGTACAAGTAGTAGTCCTCCCTCCCTCCTTCCCTTCCTCCCTTCCTTCCCATCTTCCTTTCTTCCCTTCCTCCCTTCCTTCTTTCCCTAAAAGTGATTTTCTCTGGTAGCATGTTTTAATTTCTTGCTTTTTATTTTTTGTGTATCTGTTGTAGGTTTTTTTTCCTGACATTTCCATGAGGCTTGCAAAAAACATTTCTTAACCAACTATTTTAAACATAGGACAACTCTGCTTACAACAAGCAAAGAGAATCTAACTGAAATTCAACACTTTAACTCCATCCCTTGCCCCGACTTTTAAACTTTTTATGGTTTTTGTCTTTATCTTTTCATACTATCTCTCTCTCACAAAGTCGTTGCAGTTATTTTTGGGAGGTTTGTCTTTTATCTTCTTACTCAAGGTTTAAGTGGTTCACATACTGCAATTCCAGCAATGGGCTATTTCGTATTTGTGTACATACTGCTAATAGTGAGTTGTACACCTTCAGATGATTTCCTATTGTTCATTGACGTGCTTATCTAAAGAACTCCTGTTAGCATGACTTGTAGAACAGGTCTGGTGTTGATGAAAACTCCTTCAGCTTTTATTTGAGAAAGTCTTTATTTCTCCTGAAAGTCTGAAGGATATTTTTGCAGGATATACTTTTTTAGGGTTAAGAATTTTTTCCTTCAGCACCTTGACTATGGCATGCCATGCTCTCCTCGCCTACAACATTTCCACTGAGAAGCTACTGCCAGAGGGATTGGAGCTCCTCTATATGTTATTTTTTTCTTTTTTTGCTTCCCCTAGGATCTTTTCTTTATCCATGATTATTAAATGCCTAGAAGTAGTCTTGTTTGGGTTATATCTGCTTGGTTCTATGACCTTCTTATATATGAATATTGGTATCTTTCTCTAGGTTTGTAAAGTTTGCTGTAATCATTTCTTTGAATAAACTTTCTAGCCCAGTCTTTCTCTCTGCCTCTTATATTTGCCCTTTTGAGGCTATTTCATAGATCGTATAGGCACGGTTCATTCTTTTTCCTCTTCTGACAGCTTATTTTCAAACAGCCTGTCTTTATGCTCACTAATTCTTTCTTCTTCTTGATCAATGCTGCTGTTAAGAGACGCTGATACATTTCTCAGTTTGCCAGTTGAATTTTCCAGCTCCAGAATTTCTGGCTGATTTTCTTTTTCTTATTTAAATCTCTTTGTTAAGTATCTCTGATAGGCTCCTGAATTCCTTCCCTGTGTTGTCTGACAGTCCTTAAGCTTCTTTAGGACAGCTATTTTGAATTCTTTGTCTGAAAGACCACACATATCCATCACTCCAGGATTGGTCACTGATATCTTATTTAGTTTGTTTGGTGAAGTCATGTTTTCTTGAATGTTTCTGGTGCTTGTGGATGTTTGTTAATGTCTGTGCTTTGAAGAGTTAGATATTTAGTTTAATTTTTACTGTCTGGGCTTGTTTAAACTTGTCCTTCTTGAGAAGGCTTTCCAGGTATTCAAAGAGAAATTGAGTGTCATGATCTAAGTCCTTGGTCAATTACAGGTGTTTCTGCACTGAGGCTATTCCAAGCCCAATAATACTGTGACTCCTGCAGACTCTTGGTGGCACCATTTTGGCGGACTTGGGTAAGATACAGGAGAATTCCCTGAATTACAAAGCAAAGTCTCTCACTCTCTTCTCTCACTGTCTGTGCTGGGTTGCTCAGTTTGGGGAGGAGTGATGGGGGCACTCCCTCATGATCACTGCAGCTAGGACTGCACCAGATCATACCCCAAGTCAGCCTAGTCTCACCCAAAGCCCAGAGCGACAATTGCTTGACTACCTTTTATGTTTATTCAAAACCCAAGGGGTCTTTAATCAGCAGATGATGAATCCTGCTGGGATGGGATCTTGTCCTTCAGGGCAATATGTTTCTTTCTGGCCCAGGATAGGTCTGGAACTGTTGTCCAGGAACTAGGGCCTGGAATCAGGGGCTTCAGGAGTCTGCTTGGTACTTTATTTTTTGTGGCTGAGTTGGTACCCAAGTTGCAAAACAGAGTCCTCTGAAGCCTTCCCCTTTCTTTCCTCAAGGAAAAGAAGATTGTCTCTGTGCTGTCCTGCTTGGAATTGGAGGATGGATAACACAGGCACTGGCTTGACTGCTACTGCTGGTGTCCCAGAGTCACATCCACCCCAAGTTCATGGGCTCTGAGCTAACACAGCCACAGGAGTTGGAAAGGACTGCAGCCTTTGTGGCCCAGACTGCCTTGTGAATTTAGTCCAGGTCCCAGACTGCTTTTTCTCAGATAGTGTGTATGGCTAGTGGGGATTCAGGTTTTGAACTAGAGGATTTTTCTCTGTCTAACCTGGTCTAAATGTTCCTTCCATGAATGCTGGCAGAGTTCTGCCTTTTGCTGTATTCCCCTGTGCCAGGGTGGCTCTGAGTTTCAATGCAAAGTCCCATAATACCTTCACTGTCCTTCCCCTGGGCACATAGATTTTCTCTCCACTCCACAGGGCACTGGCAGAGTGCTACCAGATAGAGGAGAGATGATGTAGGCCATGCAAGACTGTCTTTTCTGCCCCA